ACTTATATACTTATTTTTATTTCTTATTTATTATTAGTCTTGACTGATCACCCCAACCAATCTTCTCTTCTAAATATAGAAGACCCACCTCACTGCAAGAGTTTTAATTTGATAAGAGGTCAATATTCTTATTTTTTTTTTAAAACATGTTGCTGATAAAATTGAAGATACTGTTCTAAAAATAGTGAAAGAAAATAAACCAACAAAGTACTAGAAAGCTTAAAGCATAAAAAAGAACAGTATTGTGGAAAATATGCTTAGAAGGCCTTTTTGGTATTGGTCATGCTAATGTTGTTAATACGATAAATATTTAAGATAATCAAGAATTTTCATTTGCTCAAAGACAAAAAGAATGATCAAGTAAAAGGATGTCTATAAAACCTTGTGATGAAAGAAGTGAATCATATAGAGAAAAAGCACAATTGAAGAAAATAATAAAGTGATAAGAAGTAAATAAAATATTACTTTTTGTGAGAATGGATAGGGTAGCTAAGTAAGCCATTGTTCCTCAAGATCCTGTCTTCGAGTCTAACAGTAGTAATTATTTATTCTACATCAGCTGTGGATTGTGGATCAGAAAATTCCTCTGGGGCAAATCTACTGTGGATTAACATCTGGATCAAGAGACCCTCTGGTGCACACTCAGCCTCTATAAACTGGGTACTCTTAATTTATTTTTTATTAAATACTTCGGTTAATACTGGGATCTAAAGTAGAGCATGTATCCTCATAGAACAAATATGAAAAAAAAAAAGCTGTGGTTGGCTTATTAAATACTAAAACAGGCGTAATTAAAAACTAAATTAGAGTTTGAATAGGATCTGAAATCTTGATTTTTAAGCTCCAGGAGGATTTAATTGAGTCCAATGAATGGTAAAGGCAATATATTCTCTCAAAGAATATTATCCAAAGATCAGTTCAAGGTCACTTAATAAGGATAAACACAAATCCGTATAATTTGCTCATTTGTTATAAAATCTTGTGTTAACAGCTGGTTACAATTACAATCTGTATGAACTGCTCCAGAAATGACATGCAATCTCTGAGAAATTTAAAAGAGTATGAGTGTCAAAAAGGAAATTTCAAAGAGTGTAATGGAAATGTTCCTCAGATATCAAGAGCATTTATCAGAGCTGTTTTTAGGTGCTAACAATTTTTTATGATGATCCTTAAGAACCAAGAGAATAATGACAGATACTTTAAAATAGTAAGACAAAAAAGAAGCACAAAACGGGTCAAATAAATCCAGATGCCATTTGTAAAAACGGCCTTCAATGTTTTGTTTCCAGTAACACCATGAAGTTTTTTTCAGGATCCCTGACCTACCATCAGACTTATTGAAAATAGTCGTAACTGGCTGGAAAGAAAATGAATCCTTACAAGTTCACTTAAAGTTGTAAAAAAAAAAAAAACTAGTATTTCTGGAACATGTAGGGAAAGTACTCATGTAGTGGCTGTAAGCAGTACTGGTGAAAACACTGGTTTAGGTATTTGATATCAGTTTTATAATCTAAGGAAGATTATAAAGTTAGGACAAAATATTCATTTAGCGGCTCTGTGCAGTAGTACTCTTACAATGGAAACATTGGTTTATACTGTACCTGTTATTTCTGAGCAATCAGTCCAAAGTTCTAATATTCTAATATTCTGTTACAAAATAACTGGTCCAGTTTTCATAAGCTATCTCTATTCACTGGCTAGGTGCTAAAAAAGTCATTCTGCTTCTTCCTAAAGGCTTTGAAAATTGAAAAATGATTGGTCTTAAAATTCCACTTTTTTTATGTTATGATTATCCTCAATAGTACTTATTTCACTAAAATAAAAAAATAAAAAATAAAAATTATAAAAAACAGAAGATTAGGACTCAATGATCAACTTATTTATAAATATATCGGATTATGAATTTTGGAGAATACCCAACAATAACAACAATACCCAATGGTTTTGTAAAATATTCTAATAACTTTTATCTTCAATAATATTAAAAAATTAATTAATTTTATTTAGTAATCCATAAATTATTAAAAAAACAACCCGTGAGCAGCAGAGTCCCGTCACTAAGGTTCTATTTTCCTCTTAGTAGTAATAGTATAGTAAAAATATATATATATATAGAAAGTAATTAAATTGTTTTATTGGCTTTAAATAGAGTAATAAAAGCATTGAAAATTATTAGCCAATGGTTTATTATATTAAAATAGTTATAAGTTCAATATGTATACCGTATCCCCACAAATGACTTTATTTACTACATTCACATTTATACGCAAAGATTAGGACATTTAAGAAACATGCTCTTCTATCACTATTACTATTATCCATCCTTAGATGTGACAAATTGTAATATATCTTAAAAAAGAATTTTTGAAAAAAAAAAACATTTATTTGATAATATTTCTTTTTAAAAAGCTATGAATATAATTATAAAAATTGTCATATAAGAATTAGGACTTTAAGGATAGCTTTGAGATATACATAAAAAAGAAATGCAGAGCCAAAACAGATCAATTTTAATGAAAGACAGCTTAAGTTTTCTCCACGAATAAGTTGAAATTTACGTCTAAAATAAACTTCACCCAAAAGAAGGTGGTAAAAACAATTACTACGTTAACATTGGATATCCGAAAAACACAAACAATATTAATTTTTTTGTTTATATTGAATATGGTCCTTTGAAAGTGTAATAAATACTTAAAAATAAAAATAAAAAATCAGACAATTTAAAGAAAAGATATGTTGTTCTAAATAATTACTGAATGTTCTAAAGGTGACTTGTTTGTTTGTTTGTTTCGATGTCTAGGCGCAAAACATCCAGGTCATAAGCGCCCGATCAACTAAATAACATCATTTAATACTATTTGGATGATTGGTACAAAAAAAAAAAAAAAAAAATGGATTGATAGAATAAAATAAATAAATAAGGATAATAATAGACATTTATAGGTAATAAGATGTATAAAAAATGTATAAATAAATAAACTTTAAAAAATAGCAGTAGAATCAATAAATGAATTGAGATTAATAAACAAATGAAATTAAAATGAAATGAAATCAAGTGAAAAAACAAATAAATAATAATAAGAGAAAATATAATAAAAGTAAGTAGATAAAAAAAATTAATAAATAAAAAAATAAATAAATAAAAGCCTGTCAAATATGTTTTAAGTCTTTCACTATCCAGGAACTTGATGACTTTGGTAACGATTTCTTCTTGATTTTCCAAGGATGCTGATATATTCTGGGGTATTCCAAAATCTTTTAATCTTGCGGTGTAAAAAGGGCATTCTTCCAAAATATGTTTTATAGTTAGTGATTGGTTACACTTTTGACATCGGGGGATAGAATCTTTTGTTATGAGGTGGAGGTGAGTCAGTCTAGTATGTCCGATCCTCAGCCGCTTGAGGACGACCTCTTCTCTACGACTGCTGCGTCTGGAGCTGATCCACGGTTGCACCTCTTTCTTTATTGTTTTTAATTTGCTAGGTGCGCTGTTGTCCCACCGTCTTTGCCATTCTTGGAATATGGTTTCTCTCAGAGGTCGTGCAAGTTCAGATGGTGTCAAAAAAACTTTACTGCGGCCTGGAAGAGTAAGAGCTTCCTTTGCTGCTCTATCAGCCATTTCATTTCCTTTAATTCCTATATGGCCAGGGGACCAGATAAAATGTGCCGTTGTTCCAACTCCATGAAGCATTTTTATAAGACTTAGAATGCAGTGTATCCCTGGATGGTCTGGATACATGTTATTCATAGCTTTCAGAGTACTTTGGGAATCCGATACAACAACCACATTTGCAACTGGCTTATTCATGACGTATCGGAGACTCATTGCTACGGCGTTAATCTCTGCTGTGTAAACACTACAAAGATGGTGTAATTTATATTTGTAGTTAGTATCAGGAGAGACAAAGGCTGAAGCAGTAGATGTATCTGATTTGGATCCGTCGGTGAATATTAGAAGATGTTCAGGTAACGTGATGATTATTTTGTGGAATTTTTCTTTGTAATCTGAAGGTGACTGTTTTGTCTTAAAGAAACTGTACGGATTTCGATGAAAGTTTTTTGATTGTTTAGAAAATTTAAATGTCTTCTAAATTTGTTCTAGCCCAAAAAGCTGGGGAAGACGAAATGCAGTGATAAAAAAAAAAAAAAAATATATATATATATATATATATATATATATATATATATATATTAAGGAATTTCCCATTACTGTGGTTGTCCTTGACCTAATTATTCTTTTTAAGATATTTTTCCATTCTTCTCTATCCAAGACTTGTTCTTCTATGATAGTGGTTCTGAGGGTTTCAAAACAGATAGAAACAGCAACCCGGTTTTCCACTGAAGACTTTTGATACAGTGCAAACAGTCTGTTATTTCCGAAGGAAAATAGACAACAAGTTTTTATCATTATTTTTCCAGACAAAAATAATTTAGTTATTATATTATGATAATTTTGGCATTGAATAATATTTGATTTTAAATTGTCTTGACATTTTTCATGTGAATGATCATATTTACTTTCATCATAGAGATTTATTGGTAATATATTAACATTAGTGGACAAAATATTACATATTTTTCTTATACCAAATTTTTGATTTGTATTATATCATTTCAGGCAGATTTTTCAGATTTCGACTTCAAATTCTAAGGATTTTATGCTGTAATAATCTATTATTAGTCAAGTAAAATAGCATGTAAATTATAAATAAAGAAATATTAATTTGTTTACTATAATGGAATTATTGAAAAACACAACAACAATTAGATTATTTATAACATACTTATAATAGAGTATATTATAATATAATTATATTTATATTTCTTAAAAACAATCTTTATTAAATTATCTGCCTTGCTTTTATTATTACTATCATAAGCATTTGCTAATGATATAAAATTCTAATATCAAATAAAATAACAATAAATATTAGACATTTCAATTAAAAATGTAGCTGACAATTGATACTGCCATCTAGTATTGTTTGGCCTGCACTACTGAATTAGGTAACCAATTGTATCCTATCTGTCATAACTGAAGTTTACTTTCTGAGCAAAGAAGATCCAAGAGATTTATACTGAATTTTACTCAGGTAAGCAAGTATCATACAATCTTCGCATTTCATTTAATTATCTTCTCTCTGAAATTCAATTGGGTTTAGATAACCTCACTTCTAAAACATAAATAAAAAATTGGTTCTTTAGTCACAGAATAAGTTGTATTAAAAATAATAATAATAAGTTAAGGCTTTTCATAAAAGTTTTGTTTAAAACTTCAAAATTCATCTTCTCCCTTGTCAAGATTAGGCAAAAAATATTTTAATTTATCAGATAGTAAATCTAAAATTATGTGGTGTATTTAAATTCAGGATTTAGAATTGTTTTTAATCAGTTTACTTCTTTTTTCAAGCAATTAAATACTTTTCCTGTAAGGAATTTGTTAATTTTGTTGATAAAAAAATCGTCATCTGCTAAAACTTTTAATTTGTTGGTTTTTATCTAAAATTAAAATGGTTCGATGATTAGAAAAATTCTATTTAAGGATATTTAACTTGATGATTCATCTCAAGGGCTATAGTCCTGTTAAATTAGCTTCTTTGCTATTTCTACATGTCATCGTGTGCAGAATTATCAAGTAAAGGTTGCTGACAAATATCCCGATTTTAGAAAATTGTATTTATCTGTTGTTTAACGTTGTGGAATGTGGATAAATAATGATTTGTTAAATTTATTATTTATAGATAATCAAGAATTAAATTTATTTAAATTAGATGTATTAAATTGAGTGAAAAACTTATTCACAAGTAATTTCAAAATTAAAAAGTACTATCCTGAAAACTATTTCTACCAAAATAGTAAGTTTTGTTTTAATTTATTTAAAAGTGAAGACGGTTGGAGTTGAGATCAGAAATTGAATATCTAATAATTACATATGCTGCTTTAGTGTGTACTAATGTTTCGGCAAAAGTTATTGTCTTTCACCATGGCTCAGAAAAAGAAAAAGTGAAATTAATAATGTCTGTTTGCCAAAACATTGGTGCACATTAAAATGGTACATTTTGTTATTGTGTGGTTTATTTTGATGCAGCTCTAAAATCACCTCCATGAAATACAGTCCTTTTTCCTTCTCCGGTCCATGATATTAATATCATAAATTTATTTATTTTATTTACTTACCTATTTGTCTCTACCTGTATTTATTATCATTAGTGTATTTTATATTCTTTGATTATATTTTAGTTTAAATTATATTTAGTTATACATTATATTTTACTTCAAATTATAATTAGTTCTACATTATATTTTAGTTTTATATTGTCTTGATTAAATAAACTAAATTAGTTATAAAATGTTTAATTATTATTTAGTGGTTAAGTATGTTTCATGTCGAGTAAATATTACATTCATTTTCTCTAATCAAAAGTAAATATTTACCACTCACTCATATTTATTTAAAAGAATTTTATCAATCTTATGACCATGATGAAATATGAAAAAAACCAAGCCTGGAGTTCGTGGTTTGAATTTATTTTACTAATGTTTCGAAAATTTATTAAAAATAACTTTATCTTTATGAAATAAAATATTAATACTCATTTATAAGTTTACGCATAGCTGATTGCTTTTTGAGGGCATTAAATGAAGGATAAGAAAAAAAAGGTTAATCACTTTTTTTAAAAATTGATTTATTGATATAATTGGATTCAGAATGAAAATCTACATTATTTCTGGGAGTTGGAATGGAGAAAAGCAATCCCTCAGATTTTTCTTCTTTTAACTCACTGGAAGAAGAACAGTATAAATCCATTTATACCAACCACTCAATAAAAAAAACAAAAACAAAAACAGTAACATGAAATTAAGTTACAAAATTTCTCACAAAAAATATCAAGTATAATTTAACATTTTTTTATGCTGTATTTGTAATTGATAAAATATTAATAAAACCAACTCTTAATTGGTTATTCTAGAAACCACTTCACTCTTTATTGATTTTTAAAGTAATCAAAACTATAGATCTTCTGGAATATTGTAGTTGCTAATTAAATGGATACCTACAATTGTTAACAAAGCTCTCCTGAATAAAATAAACCAGAAAAAATCGGGCTGAAGCCTCCCCAAAATGGTAAGATATAACCATGTTTTCTGAAAAAAAAGTTTTTAAAAATACCTCTTAAAGTATTATTGTTCCTGTAAGTACATTTAAAAGGACTTAAGGGATCACTTAAACACCATTTCATATAGGTAGTTAGTTTCTTTCTATTTTTTCAAAGTAATTGTCGTTATTGTTATGAAAAAAAAGTTTCAGCTGAAGCCAGCCCCCAAAATTAAATCCTGGATCCGCTAGTGGTGTGGACACAACAGAAAATTTCTGTTTGTTTTTTTTCAGGAAAAAGTACCAATTCGATGAAGCTGACAATTAGAAAAAAAAAATACATCCATTTATGCATTTTTTTTTTTCGTCGTGTTGCGAATTTATAGACGTTTTAAAATTTTAAGAGTATAATCAGCCATGAATTTATACTTTTCCAATTATACGCAAATAATGTTTCCTTTTATTCAAAACTTTATTTTCCTTACTTTTCGGAGATGTATTCATTTTTCGCACCCTTTGGATTCTGAGGATCGAGAACAGTATTCAAAAATACCAAACAATATTATATTTATAGAAGTACAAATGTGACTCAAAATATAGTACATAATATGTATTATTTATTTAAGTAATGACCGAAAGAAGTGGCTAAAACTTTTGGGTACGATAAACAACTAAGTTGTAAAAAAATCGTTAATCATTATATAAATAGGCAAACACAAATCGGTTCAGCCCCTTTTACTCCTCTATTATTCAACCGATTTTCTTCATTCTTTTTATGTTTAATAGATATTGGCGAGTTTTAGTGTTATCAATAAATAAATATATTAAATAGTATGTGAAAAAAATATAAATGGTAGTTTGTTCAAAACCGCTTATCTCCGAAAATTCTTCACCGATTTTTTTTTTTAATTTTGACACAACGTCGCAATAATATTTAGAAGTTTTTTTCTATACGTTTCATTATCATCGGGCCTTTCCTTTCGAAATGGCGGCCGAAAAACGTGATTCGCTTTAGATTGTAGCGCCAATACGGCTTCAACGATTTCAATGAAACTTGGCTAAAGTTTTCCCCTGAAAACCTTTATAATTTATGTATATAACATACTTTCCTGAAAACAAGCTGCATACATTTTTATGATGAATTCAGTATTTTATTTGCGAATAACTCAAAAAGTACACATTTTTTTATTGATAATACCAGTATTTATTCGAAAGCTTTCTTGATTTCCTACAAAATGATAAAAAAAAACTATCGAAATCGGACTATTTGTTGCAGAGATATATCATTTTAAACATTTAGTACTTTTTCTTTTCCTTCCAAATTCGATCTCTTTTATTTTGTTTTTTTATTAATTGAAAACTTTTCATTTACTAAGGTAATTGGGTCTATTATTTGAAGAGATAATATCATGCAATGTTAGTGGAATCCTAATAAATTAAATTTAAAAATATATTCTATAGTTATACTCATTGTTAACTTGAATACTGCACAAGCATTAGTTAATGGAACAGGAATGAGACTGAAGGATTAACGGGAGCTACTTTAAATTAAAGAATTTTAATTCCAAAAATTAATTTAACATTTTCCGACACTATACTTAGATTCAACTTTCAAAGAACAACGTTCCTATTAATAGGTGCATTTGCTATGACCATAATCGCAGGATAAAAGTTTTGGAAAAATGTGTATATTATTGTGACGTCCAGTAATTTCGCATGGACAATTATATGTGGCAGCAATTAGAGCACGTTCATTTAAAATATTGAAATTTAAATTTTCAATGGCAATGAGCATGGCTATGCATTAAACAATATCAGAACATAATTTACAAAGAAGTTCTGAATACAAATGGATTTAAAGTTAATTTAAATTGCTAATTTAAATTGTTTTTTTACTTGCTTAATCATAACATTAATTTATTGTGATAAGAACACACATAAATTAAAATTAAAATTCAATATTTTTGAATGAGTATATTTTGTATTAATTATAAATAATTTTAAATTACTTAAGCTCGATTTTTAATTGAAATTGAAATTTTGTTAGTATTAATAAATGAGGATTTTTGAATCGTGATTTTCTCTTTATTTATTTAATTTACTTTTTATTTAATTATAACTTTTCCTCAAATTGTTAATGGCTATGGTCGAATTTCGACCACTGGGCGAACACTAGTAATAACAAACTTACCTAAGTGTTACTTATAAATATAATAAATATTGCAAATACGTAAATACTAGATTACATAAAGATTTATTGCAGTAAGAATTTGAAAAAATTTTGTAAAATCTTGAAATTAAATTATAATTGCTCTAATCTTTGAAAGATTGAAGATAAGGCAGTGAAATAATGGCTATTCTTGAAAAACATTTATTACTTAACAACTGTCTTCCTCATGACTATTTCGTAGATTTAATAGAAAAAGGGTTAGCTAGTAAAAGATAAAAAAAAAAAGTGACAAAATACGTAGATAAAAATTTATCCTATAAATAAATATTTATCCTATAAAAATCCTTAATAAAAAACATAGATAAAAACTTTGTTTTTTTTTCAGCGATGACGATTATACTGTATGTATCTCTCGGAAACTACGCGCGTTATCGTGGAAATTAATAGCTTAAAGATTGTTTCAAATTTTATCAGCTATAATTTTGCATCGAACGTCTTTATCGCTAGGATGCATGGTTTCCCTAATGTAACTGATAAACTGAAAAAAGTGACTCCGGGTGCTCCCCTCCCACACCCGACTCATCTTCTTGGAGAGGGAACTTGAAGTATGTTTACCACTTAACTATTCCCAATAAAGTCCCAAAGACAAAAATTGTGCTCCTTCCATTTCCTTCTATAATCATTAATTGACTGAAGTATATTGCATCTCATGTTGATTCCATCTATCCATCTGTTTTTTTTCCTTGCACGTGGTCTATTGAGGTTGCTGTGTATATGTTTCCTGCTGGATTTCTCCGTGCTACATGCCCTGAGATGTTAAATGATCA